ATATATATTCGTTTCCCGAAATATATTAATTCATTATAAAACGTATACGTGATATTTTTTTCTCATATAAATGACTAGAAATAAATTAAATTAATTTTAAAAAACTAAAAGTAATTAAACGACTTAGACTTAGATGATAATAAAATGAACATTTTATTAAAAAAAGATTTAAAACTAGTAGGTCAAGTATAATTTTTTATTTATTTATTTATAACATTATGAGCTATTAAGCGCATCATCTCGTTCGCTCTCTGTCTTGCTTTTATTCGGCAAGTCACAAATATATATGATACTCGTATGTTCCTACTCAACTCTCGAGAATCTGAAACAAACGAAACTCGTGTCCAATATACAGGGTGTCCGTACTAACAGACCAATGATTACAAATGGATTCTTTGGTCAATTTGGGAACGATTTTTCTTCAGCGAAAATGTCGAAAAAGGTCATCATTTTTTACAACTTTCCAATCTTTGTCATTATATATCTTATAACTAAGCCTTATTAAAATTTTATTATCGTAAACTCTACCTGAAATTAACGAGAAATGTAATTATGTTAGACTTTTAACTCCAAAACGTTTATTTTTCAAAAAACCTATTTTTTTTCAATCGCTTATAACTCGAAAATTATTGACTTCTCTACATTTTTGCTAATTAAAAATCGTCTCCAAATTGGCCAGAGAATCCGCCCTTAATCATTGGTCCGTTAGTTACCGGACACCCTGTATATATTATAAAAAGTGTATAGCACGTCAGAAGCTTGTGAGCTTACAGCGATAAGTAAAAACAATTGCGTATCTATTTCATTGCGTTTATCTGTTTAAACGCGCGCTTTAATTTTCCAACGTTTTTGCCTGTTTTATATTTTAAAGGTCCTCTCTTCTAAAAATCTTGTTTTAAAGATCCTCTCCGCGAGCAAATTCGAAAACATAAATATTTAATATTTTTACTTTATTATTTGTAATCCTCGGTATTTCAAATTTTTTCTATTTGAAAATTATTAATTTTCTATTGCCAATTAATTTTATCACAGACTTTACTCTTACTTCCATTGCACTTTCGTTTGCGGTTTTCAGTATACGATTTTTATCGTAGTTACTAAAAATTATTATTGTGAATTATACTTGTGCAGTGATTTGAAGAATTTACAATTTCGTTGAAATTGTTGATTCTTCAAAAAATTACGAGATTCCGCGGAAATTGCGTGCTTGTCTTTCTTGGCATTTCCGTTCGCGGCAGGCGGTTTATTTTTGATTGTTGCAAGTGTTTTTTTTTTTTTTTTATTAAAATAGATAATAATAATGTGAATAAATCACGATATTTGACATGTGCATATATATAGAAATTTAATAATAATAATATTATATCATAAAATTGTAAATTGTTTCATTTTTTAATAGACTGCGATAAAAGATTTTACATTTGGATAAGAAACTGCGGTAAGTAAAAATATAAAATTCTTGAAAACGTACCAAAATATTTGATAACGTAAAAAGGTGAACTTTGAAAAATAAGGAACTTAAAAATGCACTAATAAATGGGCTATATGTGAGCCGTGCGCGGATGTAAGGTGTGTTATATCGAAATTAATTAATAGAATTGAGAATTAATCCCAATTTTAAGTTTACAAATGTCCAAGCTAATTTTTTTGTACCTCGTGTACATTTTTGAAAGTTATATCAAAAAATTAAATTTCATATGCGTCTTACATCTCACATTTCGCATACGGCTCACATATAGCCTATTTATCTCTTATACTTTATTTCAACCCTTATAGAATTTATTACTAGTAACGCCAATTTATCAATTTTATTTTCGAGTAATTAATCACTTTTATTTCGAATACCAGTTTAAATACTATAATTAGTATTTTAACTGGTAAATACTACTTTACAGTAGTATTATTTACAGTAATTTTAAGTAAAAATTACTGTATATTATAGTTTTTAAATACTCGAAATAAGTGATTAATTGGCATAGTGATAAATTTCTACAAGACAATAAGGAGCCTTTAAATTCTTAATGTAAAAATTTCAAGTAATTTTCTTTAATAAAATTTAATTAAAAATTTTTGAACACTGTGTTATATCACATTTAAAATTGTGATTATTTCAATAAAAAAACATTTATGTGTAAAAATATATTTTTTATATTTGTAGGCGGATAAACGATTGTGGAGCAAATAGATATATATGTAAGGAGACCGGGTTAATTAGTCAGGAAAGAATCCGGATCAAATAGGAATTGAGATTAGAGTATAATATATTTATTGCGAACTCAAGGTGCCTCTTGTCGTCCAAATGCCAAATGTTTCCCTTGTCTCTTCGCCGTCGCTCCGACCTCGGCGGTCCTCGATCGTAAGAGAGAGTGTCCAAAAGAGAGCGTTATGTGTCTGTCTACCAAAATCGCTGATACTTATATCGCTCCTAATTTCCTAATAATCCCTTCCTATCATACTTGAGCCAATCGCTAAGCGACAACTAACCCGTGCTCTGGTTTGTTTTCGAACGGTCGCATCTGTTATTTTCTACACGATCAAATCTCTTATTATTCGCACACGGTAACATAAATATAAATAAATAATCGAACACGAGGACGAGACGACAAGGCGACAATAATATGATGGCGTGATACATACTCTCGAAAATAATCGCACGCCTACAGTTCGGCCATTCTGACATTTTGGCCGTCTCGGTCAAACGATAAAATAGAACAAATAAAATATAATTTGAACAAAATTCCTTTACAAGAGAATGCATCGTCATGCACGTATATACGGACGCATTTGGTCGGGCGCAAATATACCAGTTATCATTTTATTAAATTTTCCACCGTCCGTTGCTCTCGGCGTGCTCACAGCGATTGATACGTGCTCTATGGCACCGGATTCCAAGTATCTCTTAAATACGTCAGATGTGAAACAAGTTCCTCTGTCCGAAATTAAACGTTTCGGTTTACTATACACGCGGAAATATTCACAGAGATACTTTATCGATTCCTCCGATGCTGTCGACTTACGCGGGTAGAGCCGGATAAATTTAGCGAACGCGTCAATGACAACAAACAGGTGACGGCTAAACTTAAAGACAGAGTTTTTTCTAATCGAATCGTACAATGGTTTTGCCACCAATGAAAATCTCGGAATAAATTGACGAAAATAATTCACGAATCCGACGAACCTATGTACGTCCCTGATGTACGTAGTACAGGATAATTCAAAACAGGCTTATATTCTCGTCGGGTCTCTCGTCGCAATCTCGCGTAAGATTCCTTGTCCGCGACCGATAATCTCCGCGGGCGCATACTTATCGGTTGTTCATGTTTCGGTGCGATAACCATCTCGAAGTCCGGCGCGCATTTCTCCGCTCGAAAATTATTAGATAATAGGATTCATAGATCTCGCGGATCTTTTCGGATGTATCCTTGTCAACCGCCGGATTAATTTTCAACTCTTCGCTCGGATGTACAACACCATCGTCGCATTCAATATCATCGTTTGGCTAATAACGCGCGCTCTTCCGTGCTTGCAATTTCAAGATCTGCCCTAAAGTAACACGCAGCGACGGACAATTCAAGAAATCTCTACCGAGTAGCACACTATACGCCATCGTATTATGAGGCACCGTGTAAAACTTCATTTCCAACCGCACGCCTCTCACCTCTAAGTCGGCGTGAACGATGCCGTCGATATCTAACCGCGAGCCGTTGATTCCGACAAAATTGATCGATGCTCTCGTTCTCGAGCAGACGTGAATCGCCCTGAATATCTCGCTTTTAGCTAACAATGATCGGAGAACCCGAATCTATGATTGCGTCCACCACGTAATTGTCAAAACCTTTATTCGGTTTTCAGTTATAATTTTTACAGTGATTGTATATGGCTTTAATATGCAACCGGTTGCACGACGTTCATCGACGTAGTTTGCGCAACGCTGTTCGGCGTTTCCGACGCCGCGGACCGATTTCGCTTTGGACACATTCTCTGGCGAAATGATTCGGAGATTCGCACACGTAACACCCGCTTCGCTTGCGGTCGCACACACTGAGCCGCGGTATGTCCCGTTTCGCGACACTTATAGCACCCCGTCGAGTCTCCCCGCGTCGCCGTCTCTGCTCTTCCTCCGCTGGTCGTCCTCGCTCCGTCTCTCCCTGGCCGGACGTCTGGTCTCTTTGGATTCCCTCGAACCACCTTCTCGAACGCCTTCATAGCTCTCTTCCAGATTGGAAGTTCATCAGGCGCGCCTGACTCTGCAGCCGAGGATCCGTCACTCCTTCGATGATGTAATCGAGGAGTTCGTCTTCCGCGATTGGTACGCGATTTGCGAGAATCACCTTTTCGTGGTAATAATCGCAAAACTGCTGTCTCCTTTCCACACACGAGCCTCGAATTCTCTCCTCAGTGTCAGCTTTCCTGGCCGCAGGTCGAACATCGACTCCATCTCTCGCAGAAGGTCCTCCAGGTCCAGCGTCACATACTCGGCCTTGAGTAAAACCAGGTCAACGCACGGCCTTTCAACCGAGAGCTAATCACACTCTCGTCGAATTCTCGTCCAGCTGATACGTGCGTCTCAGCAGCTCCAACTGCTGCCTCCATCTCCAAAAGGTGCTGTCCGTCGCGTCAAACTCAGGCAGCAGCTCCTTAATTCCTCTCACACCGCCGAACGCAGAAATAACGCTGCCGTTCGTCATCGTCGGTGTCGAGGCTGCACTCCTCATCATTTCTTTTCTCTTTGGAGCAACTGTCGCTCTTCTCCAAAATTTCTCGCTCTCGACGCAGTAATAAGAGTTCTGCCTGCGTCGCGTCGTCATGCTCTCTCCGTTCCGGCGTCGTCATCCTCACTCGGTCTCCTCGTCTCGGCGTATCGTCCACGGTCTCCATCTCCATGGCGTCACCCTGTTCACTGGGTGAACGCACACCTCCTGAAGCCGGGATGCCATCCGAATATCTCTCCTGCCTCCGTTGCTCGCTCAACCTCGCCCATACGCCTGAATCGTTGGCATTCAGGCGCTGGATGAGCTCGGCTTTCGACCTCCCAAGGTCAGTCCTTTCTCGCGAAGAGCCTCCTTCATCTCAGCGATGGTGAAATCACTCGGCTGCATCGTTGCTGTCACTCCGATCCGCTCGACTATTCGGCACACCGCGACGTCCACGATACTCACGCAACCCGACGATCACCACGCGTCAATCGTCTCCACCTGCGCGTCTCACACTCGACACGTATCGCGAACAAATCCCGAAATCGCCTGTCTCCAGTCGAATTCGCGAAACCGGGTGCAACGCCTCGATCCCACTTCTGATAACTGTAGGCGGATAAACGATTGTGGAGCAAATAGATATATATGTAAGGAGACCGGTTAATTAGTCAGGAAAGAATCCGGATCAAATAAGGAATGAGATTAGAGTATAATATATTTATTGCGAACTCAAGGTGCCTCTTGTCGTCCAAATGCCAAATGTTCCTTGTCTCTTCGCCGTCGCTCCGACCTCGGCGGTCCTCGATCGTAAGAGAGAGTGTCCAAAAAGAGAGCGTTATGTGTCTGTCTACCAAAAATCGCTGATACTTATATCGCTCCTAATTTCCCAATAATCCCTTCCTATCATACTTGAGCCAATCGCTAAGCGACAACTAACCCGTGCTCTGGTTGTTTCGAACGGTCGCATCTGTATTTTCTACACGGATCAAATCTCTTATTATTCGCACACGGTAACATAAATATAAATAAATAATCGAACACGAGGACGAGACGACAAGGCGACAATAATATGATGGCGTGATACATACTCTCGAAAATAATCGCACGCCTACATATTTAATAAATTTTAGATATATATATATATATATATATGCATATGAAAATATTCTCTTTCTCTTTCTCTCTCTCTTCTCTCTCACACACACACACACACACACACACACA